TCCTTCCTTGATTGTTTTGAGTAGCCCACTGAGTAGCTACTGTTTGGAAAGTAATAGGTCACAGTGGGAGGCTGAAAGGGGATGGGTTCCAGAAGCATTTAGTGTTTAATGGGGCTATTGCTGTAGTGAAGCAGTGTGCAGAAATAATTCTGATTAGACTTGGTCAATCAAGCCACAAAATCAGACCTGTCCTCTTCTCATTCAGGATTAGACAACAGAAAACTGTTATTGTTCAAAATGAAAACTTAGAACTTTCAACTAATAAAATCACCATCTATTTAATATATAAATGTACCTAGTTATAGATTTGAAATAAAGTTTTTAATCTGGTAACTGGATTGGTTTGCATATTAAATAGGTGGTCGTGTTATTAGTTGTAGACATAAGAAGAAAATCCCTGCTTCGTTACTGCAATAGTTAGGATAAGAGCAAGGCAAGATAATAGCAGGTTTGAGAAGCAACGCTGTGATCCAACAGAATGAGAGCTCTAAAGATCTATTCAGTGGAGGTGATAAACCTGCACTTACTGTAATGTCCACCAACGATACTTAAAAGTCTTTGTCATTGATAAGATTTTTACCTTAGGTTTTTCCCAGGAATAATATTGCATCCATGCCTTGCTTAATTTGCAATACATATGCAATTTTGTTTCATGCTGGCTGACACATTATAAGTTGTTGATACCACATATATGTAAGTAATTCTAGTTGTTGAACCAAAATATAATGAAAGCATTAATTAATTATTGAATTAAGTAATCTTTATTCAAAATAAGTATATTTATCTACATAATTGGACCCTAGCTCCAATGCTAGGGCAACACTGGCTAGAATGACCTTAGTTAACAAAACAGAGTATGTCTTGGGCAAGAGGTCAGGTGGCTGTGCTTATTGTGAGGTTTCTCTGCCAATATGCTTTGAAGTAGGTTATGTGGCAGAATGATTGTGCTTTTGTGAAGATTCTGTACTGCTCTTCAAGGAAACTAAGTGGGCTTCAAAGAAACATTATTGTTCTGAGCGTGCAAAATAGCAAAAGAAACATTTTCAGTTGACTTTTCCAGAGTTACATTGTGTGCTCCCTCAGCAAAGAGATATATTGTATTGGTAGATGTCATATTTTTCCACAGAGGAAGGTTTGAAAAGCATCTTTGTTCTTGACTAATTGTGTCAAGGCAATCGCTTGAAAAGCGAAGTAAAGAAAGTGATAAATGTGATGTATCAACCTTGTGTACAATGTGGTCATTTCTTCAACCCAGCCTGACTTTCAGAACATTTCTCTTCCCCGTAATAAAGGGCTCCTTTGTCACTAGAGACAGATTATTTTGTGGAGTTCCCATCTTATGTGGCCAGAGCTGAATATGAGTCTAATTAGCAAATACCATAGAGCACAGAGCTGCATCAAAATAGACCAAGGACTTTAAGATGAAAAAGTAATCAACCTGAGGGCAAATTCGGGGTGGAGGAAGATATTCAAGGGAATTGTTATACTAAACTCATTTTATATTATCCACAAATTGTGAATCAGAAACTACAGGAATGCCAATTTTTTAAAAGAAGTATCTGCTGCTGCTGAAAACATAATAGAACAGTTCTTTGAAAAAGAGATTTAAGGAACTAAGGAGATTTTCTTGCTTTTAAATAAATACAGGGAAGCATTTAACCCCTATTGTAGTACTACAAAGCCTTGGCTGATTGCACAGTGAAGCTTGGGAGGTCCAAAGACAATGTGATTGGCTGTTTAAAAACAGCCTATTTTTTTACATCTTCCTGCACACAGTCCAGCAGCAACAGAGTTTAGCAGCACACAGATTTACCAGCAGGATTACAAAGAGGGACAGGCTTTTTAATCAGCATTTTATTTCATTGTTTTCCTATCAAGAGATGGAGAACAGAGGAGATGTACAGTAATAAGGTAATTTTCAGATTCATTTACATAATAAAATAATAAGGTAGGTTTTATTATTGTTTCTAGTCATAACTTTGTTTTTCACTAGTGTATGTTTCTGTGATGAAACCGAAGTTTGAAGAATGAAAGTGAAATTAACATGTCATGCTTTGGATTTATCAGTTGTGTAGTTTGAAACTGGCAACCTTGTACTGCACTAAAATGTATATATAAAGGTCCAGACGTGCTTTTAAAAAGACAAACACAATGCTGGCCCACCAAACTCACTGGCAAATTCTTGTTTTTTTCTGTGCAGGAAGAAATTGAATGTGTGTTCTGGGACATAATTTATCCACGAACTAATTTGGACTGATGAGAAAAGATTGCTGTTAGAATTGTTTTATATCCTGTTTACTTGCTTTTCTAAGTAGATTTCACACTGAAACCTTTTTTTTTAAGTTGGGACTTCTGGATTTGAATGCATTTTAACTTTATTACAAATCTTTTTAATGTATTTTAGCAAATGGAGGTATATGTATGAACAAATTATTCATTCTTGTTCTTATTCCTTCCAGCTTTATTAAAACAAAAGCCAATACATGTTCTCTTCATGGACGTCTGAGTCCTGACCTGTAATATTTTTGTATTAGATATTTCTGCACTGTATATTTTAACTCACAGCACTTTTTTAAAAAAACTACCAAATTTCTTAATTTGAGTCATTCTATGCAGTTTGAGATTACTTACCTGCGACAGACTGCCATGTTTGCTCATATGTGCAAACAAACTACTGAACTCTCACACCCAGTGCAATTACTTCAGCAGGCTAAATCACCTGTTGCCAGTCAAGAGTCTTGATGAAGAGGAATGTGTTCGGGACTAGTGAACAAGACAAAGTCCTAGAGAATGATACATATTTGTAATTGATTTGCAAGCACAAAACAACACTGTATTTGATATTTTATCAGCTTCATAATAACAATGTATACCTTGTTTTGGTTCATATAATTTAAAATCTTTAGACTTACTCTAACCAAAACTAAACACTTTGAACTCCCATTAATATATCAGCTAACAGTGTATATCTCCCACCAAAATCATTGTGTTGATTTACTTCAGTTTTAATTATATTATGAACTGCTGAGTATTCTCTGGGAATAGTATTTTGGGCTTAAAACTATTGGCAGCAAACATAGAAGCAGCAATGTGTGCGTATATGACAGTTCATGTTCCAGTAACTTTGGCTGGTATCACAGTACTACTCTGTAATGGATTGCTGTCCTTAGGTATCAAAATCTGCATATCACTCAGGTATAGGCATTCAGGAAACAACAAGCTTTGTACAAAACACTCAGGGCTCCTAGAGCTTTTCTATACTTTCTGGAGAGGTTTGTGTGTACCTCCTCCACATCGGAGAGAGAGAGAGAGAGAGAGAGAGAGAGACCACCTCATTTTCTTCCTCCTACTGCAGCATGGTGTAGAGAGGAAGGGTTGCCATTACGTCCTCCTCCTCTTGTTCCAGTGGTGGATGGGTCTTTGAAATTATGAGATAATTTGATAGAGAAGCAAGAGTTAGGGAGATTTGGGGGTGCAGACCTGTTTACTCCCTGTGTCTGTCTTCAGCCACTCTGCTTCCTGAGTCATGCTTGGAGGTAGAATTGTGCAGCAGCCTTCTAAAGAGGAGCCAGCAGGGTTGGCTCAACACCTATAGGGAATCATAGGATCAGGACTGTGGCAATAATTGGCCTTTCTGGCTCTGCATCTGTTAGGTGATATACTGCTACATCCCTCCATATCTTAGGGGGGTGGTGAATTTTAAGAAAAAATGAGGTTACAACTGGCAGGCACAGACAGCTGAGCTTCCTAGTGCATGACCATGCATGAGGCAGAAGGAAGGCATTCACGGGGCCTAGGAATGATACAGACGTTACTCATTTGGTCATGTATTCATTCCAGTTTAAAGGAATAAACTCACTTCCCCCACCCCGTTCTACTCTCTTTATGGAAATGAGGCATATTCCCTCTCATCATGTTCTCTGAAAGCAAAAGCCTCCTTGCCTTTCTCCTTTTGAACTGGAGCAGTGCAAACTGTTGAGGCACATTCTGCTCCAGGGATGGTGATGTCATATTTGAGCAGTCGGAGAACAGCAGGACTTCACATCCCACCTCAAGCTACCACAGAAATTTATCTGAAAAAGAGTGAGAGATTGTCCAAAAAATATCCTCAGAGACAGATTCAACATAAGAAGTGCCCTTGAAGAAGGCTAAAAGTGCAATAGCTGAAACACGTTGGGCTTATCTTTGAATGAAGTATTGATACTCGTTTTACATCCTGGAACTACCATCTCTCCTTGCTTGACAGGCTCAAACTTTCAAAACAGTTTGCTTTCAGAAATAAATAATTAAGATTTCTTGGCTACTGATGAAAAAGAAACTTCCCATTCAAAATGAATTTATTGTTAAGAAACAGAATAAGAAATATCCTTTTCCCCTCCTGTAATTGTCTAAAATGAAGATAAAATTTAAGTGGGAAAGACTTCTTTGCAAAGCTATTAATTTGTATGTTATTTGTCATTTGAGAGTCACTGTGCAACATCCAACATGTTGTTGGACTGTAACTTTTGTCAACTCTTAAATTTACTTATTATGCCTTCCCTTTGTTTGCATGAATGCTAACTCTGATTCTGGTACATGAGATTTTCTAAGGACTCTATGAAGATTATACCTGTTATTTGACTTTTCAAGTGAGATGTAACATTCTGAAACAAGTGTTTTAAATGGACACGTGATTATTTTTTCAGTTGATTGCTTTTGACTGTTAATTACAAGCAGAACTATAAAGAGATCAGATGTCATTTCTCTTGAAATGACTCCTAAACAGTTTGAGTAGGAGCAAAAGGTACTCTTGTTTTCTTGTGGACATGCTGACTGAAATCCTGTTGCTTATAGTAAGTGGCAATTATAATAGGCCCATTTAATTAGTGGGGATTTGATGAGTCAGCCCCGCCATAAGTTCCACTGATTCAATGGGTCTCCACTAGCTGCAACAGGATTTTAGCTGTTCAGTATATCAGATTTTACATATCTTCTCACACATATTTTCCTTTTTAATCCAGTAGTTTCTTGAAGACCAGGGGATAAAAAAGAAGAGGTTGGACTTAGGCTGTTATGACTCATTTGAACTGAACATTAAACAAAGGTAACACAATTTTCATTTTGTCAATTTTTTTCTGAAGTAGATTATTCAGAAATAAAATTTCATGGCTATGTTTTATTGGAAAAAATTATTTTTATTTTGCTGTTTTTCTAGATCTGTTGGCATAAGATGTTTGAGGTAAATGTGAATTCAGAACTGTATGCAATGACTAGTGATTCCATTTGTGTTGGTGTTGATAGTGTCCCATTGCATTGCTGTAGCACTCTTGTTATGTGAGTCCTTCCTGGATCCCTAACTAAAGGTCTGCTGTTCCTTTACTACAGAGTTAAGATGTCTACATCCAATTGCTAATCTCAGCTACAGTAGATCCAGTTAATCAATTCTGAACAATAAAACAGTAATGTAAATCCCATTGATTCAATTGGTCTCCTTTAGCTGGAGCTACCAGATGGATTCAGGCCAAAGCCTTCTCCGTGTTATCAGAACAAATAGTGAGTCTGTGTTGTATAGAAGCTGTTTTTAATTTTCACTAAGAAATTCATAGAAAGAGAAAAGATAGATGTTGGCTGGCAAATACATCAAAGCTAACTTGTTATGATCTGGATAGCTCAGTGGTTTAGGCATCTGGTTGCAGAGTCAGAGGTTGGAAGTTCAATTCCCCACTGTGCCTCCTTGACAGGGGCTGGACTTGATGATACATAAGGTCACTTGGAGTTCTGCAGTTCTAAAATTATAGATTATCTGTGATCTCGAGGCAAAACCACTGTGTATGTCACTACTTCTGCAGCAGATCACCTGCCTCTGTCAATCAGATTATTTGTTCAAGAATAGCAAAGAAAACTATTCAAATGTATACATTCACAATGCACAGTTTTGTATGGATTTTGTTTATTGGTGGGTGGGAAACAGTGCAGATATCAAAGCAAATGAGAAAAATGATAATGTTCCAAAGAAACTATTATTTGAAATTATGCTTAATGGGTTAAACAGAAACAATTCCTCATATCTCATGTGCAGAATTATCCGCTCATGGACTTTTGAGAGCTAATAGCCAGTTGGAAAACAAGCTTTAATATTCCTTTTTGTTTGCAATCTGTAGTTAGACCCTTGATTATCAGGACAAAAAACAGAGATAATCTTAGTTGATGACTAGTTTTCTCTTTTTCATTTGTGATTTATGAAAGTTATAATCTTAATTTGGTATGTTGAATGCAGTATATTGTGCCACTTCTGTATCTGTCTTTTAGCAGTAGGTTTCTTTGAGTTGCTTAACAAGTGTGGAT